AGCGTTCATCCAACATCGATAGCAAATATACATATAATATGCACACATAGCACATAATTTATATAAAATACTTCATATATATGTGTAATATGAAAGAGACCATGCAATCACTTGAAAAGGTGGTGACTCGACACTCGGACAACACTTCGTTACTCTTAACACAATTTTCCTTTGACAAAACCTATTATCATTACCACTAGAGTTTAGTCTAATATTCATCAAGACTAATTAATAGTCTTGCTATTATTACTATTATATAAGCACGAAAAAATATTTCTCAACCACTATATACAGACATGGGCCATACATAAAACACTGGAGGGCAGGACCATTTTGACATATATCACTTCTGAAATCCAACAACCATATGCGGCCCTTTAAATAAGATTCCCCGTACCGCGAGTGGTTAAAAATATATTATTACGACACTTATATAACTCATAATAATAGCACAAATACTTACTATAAGGTCCTAATAACATTACTATATTGAAACATAAGATACACTAATGATAGGGTAGGCGTAGCTCACTTAAAAAGAGTTTTTCGCAAAACCGGGCTTCGCTGGAGCAGCGTTCCCAAGCTGAAAGGCTCTTTTATTAGGGCTTTGGGAGCCTCAGGGCTTCCTTTGGGTGCTAGGGGGTTTACCTAGGCTTGGGGAGGTGGGGGGGTGTTGGGGGATTATAGAGAGAGAGAGAGAGAGAGAGAGAGAGAGAGTACAGAGAGAAAGTGAAGTTGGGAAGGTGTGAAGAATGAGGGAACCCGACACCTTTATTTATAGGCTGGAATCATGCTCTACTTGTCGAGTAGGAGGTTCTACTCATCGAGTACATGGCCAGGTGTCACCATTTGGTGGTTTGCCTTGGGGAGAAAGCCTTGACTCATATTCAGCCATGTCACCCGGTTTCGCACAACACCCCGCCGACTTCTAAACCCCGTAACTTTCGAATACGAGCTCCGTTTTCAACGTTCTTTATATTCACACTTAGATAAAAACAAGATCTAAAACTTTCATTTAGACTCGGCCGGCTAATTCTCGACCGATCTTAAATTTAATAGTAAGAGGAGATTATACTATTAAATATCCACGTAAAATTCATAACTTCTACATACGGACTCCGTTTTCATTTGTATTTTTATTGTTAAGTTACTACTAATGAGATTCTCAACTCTCATTTAGGTCGCATATGCCAAAAACCACTCGAACTAAAATTTGAGTTTCGGGCTATGTACTGCTATGCCAAATCTTAGAAAATTCGTAACTTACTCATACGAAGTCAGTTTTGGGCGTTCTTTTTTTATATGTTCTCGGTTTAACGTATACTACAAATTTTGTTTAGATCACTAAGGATAAAAAGTCATCTATCATAAATTCACTATTTACGTCTCCCGGTGTCGTGCTGGTTTTGCCGAAAAACTTCGACGGGCCATAACTTCTTCATTATAATTCGGATTTCGACGTTCTTTATATATACGGAACCCTTGAGACATATTCTAAAACTTGGTTAAGAATATTTATTCTAAATAATCTTTTGTTGAAAAGTTGTCTTCGACCCTTATTATCTCTAAATTGACTAGCCCGGATCTACGGGTGTTACATAATTCTTTCTAGATTATGTATGCTTGGGAAGCCTAACCAAAAATACCTTGAGGTTAAGAAAGATTTCTGAGGATAGATTCAGAGGGTTGCCAAAATGAGTGTCGTATAAACTAAGGGGTGAAGATTAATAAGGATTGTGAGTATTCAGGATTGAGAAGTTTTTAGGAACCTTAGACACAAATATGCGCATTAAGGTCTTGGTATAACGACTAAGTTCAAAATGGATTGTCTATGTGATATTGGCGATGGAAGTTTAACTTAAAATTAATTAGTTTTGCTTGAGGGCAAACAAAACATAAGTGTGGAGTATTTTGATATTGCCATATTTATACATATTTTTATGGAATATTTTAATACATTTTAACTAGTATTTTGGTTAATTTCAAAGATATGTGATACTTATTGAATTAAATTTCATTTTGCAGCCAAATGGAACACTCTTGAAGAATAAGGACCACAAGTGACAAGCATGGGAACTTTGGAGGTTTGGAGCTTAAAAGAAGAAGATTTTAGCTGAAAAATCAAGCTCATGACGTGACAACTCAAGGTCACGAGGTGATGTGAGAAATTATAGAATATTAGCATGAGGAAGGAAATTATAGAATATTAGCATGAGGAAGGCAGAATCCTTACATGATACAAATATCCACCAAGGTCACGACGTGAGACTCCTATTCTCATGACGTGAACGGCGAAATTCCAAAACTATATAAAGGCATTTGTATTATCGATTGAGGGAGCTTTTAGGAGGAGAGGTAGTCTGAGATATTCGATTTTAGAAGTCAGAAGAGTGCGAAAAACATACCTAGAAGGTGAAATCGTTGGAAGAAGGAGAAATTGAAGAACCACTCATCCTATTCGATTTTCTTACTCGAATCATGTCTATTATTACTGAATTTGTGTGTTTTATTTTAGTCATGAGTAGCTAAACTTGTTTGATTTCGTTTAGCTATATGAAACCTTTAATCTATGGCTTGGTTTATTAATTTATGGATTTTATAAGTTGGTTTTGTGCTTGTGTTTGATTATCATTACCTAGCATGTTAAAGTTTGTGACTTTGTTGCTTTAATTCAAGTCAAGTGTAGCTTAGTGACCATTAAATTTATGAACATGTTTACCTAGTGATTTAGTGACTATTAAACTTTTAGAGCTATAAGTGACCACATCTAGATCAAGTAATAAGAGTAACAAATTTACTTGTGATGGAGAACATAATTGTGACCATACTTGTGTTTGCTTAGATAAGTCTTACATAGCCCATGTATAATTAATAACTAATTATGTGTTTGCTTGTGTATGATCATACATGGTAGTACATGAATTGGTGAAAATATTAGTAAATTGGACTCAAATTGCTAATTACATAATAATTAGTAACCAACTTCAATAATCCATAAATAGTAACTAACTATAGGGAAAAAATGGATTCGAAACTAAACGAAAGTGTTTTTAATATCTTGATTACAATCGTTTTTAGTTAAGTGCTTAAGTTAGTATGAACTTGCAAAATCAGATAAAAAACTCTTTTTAATATTCGTTTTCTTCTAGATTAATTTTTGAACAGTTATTTTAGTATATTGAATCCGTTCCCAGTGTTTGATACAAAACTTACTTTACTATACTATAAACTGATCAGATACAATGATTATATGTGCATTAGTAATAAGCCGTCAGGTTATAAATTTAAAACTAGATATGTAATATTTTTCGCACACATCAGTAAATGAAGAGATATTAAAGCTAATCGGCTCAAGCAATAAATATGTTTTTTTTTTCCGATTTTGTAAGAAGTCATTATCGGGTTTATACCAAAAAAAATTATACATTTGATGCTAGGTTTAATTCAAGATGTCTTGCATTATCGTTCAATCAATTTTTTGCGATGATGAAGTGATATATAAAATGTTTGTAATTTTTTTTGATAAATGTTAAAAAAATATAAAAAAGGTAAAAAGTAGTATTTTAAAAACAATAAAAAAAATAGCTTAAAATATTAAAAATGTAAAAAAAAACCCTATTTTTGTAAATATTAATAGACGAAAATTTATAAAAAAAGTTAAAAAAAAACTGTTTTGCTTAATATTTTGATTATTATACTCTTTTGGTATATATATATATATTCCGAATCCGGTAGGAACTAAACAAATGGTAGAAATCGCGAAGACTGTTTTTAACAATCATTTAATCAATGACACAAACGTCTAATCCATTTACTTGGTCTTGACGTATTCGCACGTGCATGAAACGTAATATGGACTCAAGTGAATAATAATGTGCGATGAACGTACATGAAACGCCATTTAAATTGGTTTTCTTTTCTTTTTCATTTATTTTAGTTTTTTTCATTATTATTATTATTATTATTATTATTATTATTATTATTTTAATTTTTTGTTAAAGCTGTTCATTTTTTTTAAATAGATATATGCTAGGTTTTAATGTTTTTTCATTATTTAAAAAAAAGTTATTTTTTAATTTTTATTTTTGTTTTTTTAATATCTTTACTACATACTTGAAGATAGTTGGGTTTTTTTTTTTTTTTTTTTTTTTTTTTTTTTTTTTTAATACTAAATATCGTTTGAGTTTTTAATCTTCAATAATTATAAATTTTTAAATAAGAAGAATATTAAGGATCATAATATTTTCTGTTTATATATATTTTTTGAATCATATTATTTTTGGATAATAAAATTTTGAATCATAAAAATACTATGCATCATATATTTCTGGATCATATTTATTTGGATCATAATATATTGAATTAAATAAAGCTTTTATTCGATATAACATTTCGATCATTATATTTTTTTGAATAATTTAATTTTGAATCTTAAAAAATATAATAATTAAGGACCATTAAATATTTGAATCATAATATTTTTAGATCATAACTAATAATTTAATGATCACAAACATATTAAATTATAGTATTTTTAAATCGTAAATATTTTGAATCACCTATAGTTGTATCATATTGTGTTCAATATTGTTTTAAAAAGCTTTTAATATTTTAAAATCAAGTTTGATATCTAAAACACTTGATTCTTTGAATTTTTTTTTTACGAAGTCATTAAAATAGTGAGTATAAATATTCTTTAAATTTTTATGATTTTTGGAGATTTTTTTCTGGGTTGTTTATAATTACAAAAAACTTTATTTTTTTCAAATTTTCATGATTATGCTTATTTTGTAGAGAATTAATTTTAAGAATTTTTCAGAATTTTATTTAAAAAAAATAAAAACTTATGATCTAAAAACTAAATAGGTGCACCAGCCAATAACGACTGCACACTCGTTATGTTGGGTCACGTGTCAAGGGATGTATGACCGTTTTTTTTTTCTTTTAATTTTTTGCTTTTATCACTTTTATTTGGTAAAAAAACTAAAAGTTTTTGGGATTAAATTTATAAAATTTTCTCGATAATATGACATTTCGCCAAAATTGAAATCGTGAACAATAAACAAATACTTTTTCACTTGCACAAAATTGGACAGCAGCGGCACTCTCTCTAACTTTCCCGTTGAGCAGGCTCTTGCTCTCCACTCCTCTCCTCTCGTCGTCTGTAAGTAAAAATCAAATCATTTGCTCTTTTATGTCTTTCAAGCACCTCCTTCTTTGATTATCTCTTTCGCTGCCAGTTTCCAAAAATTAGGGCACATTTTGTTTGTTTTAGGAATGTGCTTACGCTTTGATTTATAGAACTCGAACTATTGTTCTACTTCTACAACTATTAGTACTTATTTAGTGTGTGATTTTGGTGTGTTTTTGCTCCTTACGGGAGGAATAAGCTTGAATCTGACAATCTCATTACCAATGGGAGTGTGTTTCGGGAAATCGCTCCATAATATGTTTACTTGAACCGAAAATGAGATTCTACAGCTCATAGATCACTGTTTTGGCAATTTGTATGTCCACTTTCATGAATATTTTGAAACAGTATGCTTGTGAGTAGTATAAACCATAAAAGGTAAGCGTTCTAGTGATTATTAATTTATTATCTGCAAACGTGGTCTTGTTTATGAAGATTTTTGTTACACCTTTCTCTTCTCATGGCTGAAAGGAAGCTTTAGGATGATAAACCCTCCAAACAAATCAACCAAAACCACAAAAGATAATGTTTAGGGTAAATTCTGTACAAATCTATATTCTTATGATGAAGTTTTAGCCTTTTAGGATATATAAGAAAGTTAAATTCTTGTACAATTACTCATTCTGACATGTTTTATTTTTTGAATTGGAATCATTCAAACTTTAGAGATAAGTTATGGGAGGTGTAACAGGCGACATCAATGGAAGTCTGGCTATCTTTGGGGATATAATATGGGTTAAGCTCCATGAAGATTCATGGTGGCCTGCACAGGTTTGTGAAAATATCACTTTTCAAATTCAAATTCATATAAATTGTGTTAACAAATTATCATAAATGCTTTGTTAAGTTAAATTAAAGCTTCATTTACTAATTTCCTTGCAGGTTGTTGATGAGAATTCAGTAACTTCAGGAAACAAACCTAGCAATAAAGGATCAAGCAGTGATGTTCTTGTTCGGTTATATGGAAGTTATATATTGTAAGTTGTTTTGCTTAATTTCTTTTCTCTTTCCTTCTTTTCACATATTTTTTTGCATTTTGATTTTATCTTGACTTGTTCCTTTGCATCTACAGCAAGTATGTAGATGTTCATAGATCCCATGCTGAGTTTAAAAAGGTAAGTCAACATCCGGTCAACTCTTGACTTCTAGTTCAGTTGTTTGTGGTAGACTCATGAAGTTTCTTTAAACTTTTAGATCCTAGAAGAAAACAATTTCAATCATGATGATATTATGAAGAAATCTCTAGAGAAGGTATTCTTTTTATGCTGTTGATGTATATTCTATGCAAAAAGACGTGAATGCCCTCATCCTCATCATTGGAATTGAAATTCCTGTAGGATCTTCCTAGCTTAAATGGAAGTTCAAAGAAGCGAAAAAGGTCTAAATCCAAAGGTTGGTTTGTGCTTACTTTTGTAATACTTATAAGGGCAAATTATATAAGGCAATTATACGTTTAAAGATGTTAAAAATTATTTTGTTTATTAACATTATTTCCTTTCCCAAACAATCCACTACATATAGATTGTTAACATCTTTGAATAATATTATGCTTAAAAAATACATATAAAATTATAAATACGTTTATACAGTATATACAAATTTTGAGGAAAGTTGTAGAAAAGTCCCTTTATTTTCGGAAAATTATCGATTTGGTCCCAAGCTATAAATATGATTTTGTTCGTCCCACAGAAAAAGAGGCTTCTCAAAAAAAATCATCAAAAAAAGAATCATCAGATAAACCCCAGGTAATTAATCTCTAAATATGTATCGAATCAAAGTTTTATAACATCAACAAATAACAATAGAATATTAGAATCTCCATTTTTATAAACCTTTGTTTCTATTAATTCTTCTCTCATCAGTCAAAAAACAAAAAGCAAAAACAAGAAAAACCAAAAACTGCAACTCCAGACAGGATACACAACGGGATTGAGACATCAGCATCTACTCCAAACATTGTGAGTCCCATCACTTTTCTTTCACATTAAAAACTCCATGTCAGCGCCATGTGGACGCCACGTCAGCTCTAATGTTGTGTTGTTTGTTTTAGGGAAATTTGAGCGGGCGTCGAATGAAGGTGATGCAGAGTCTTGGTTTAGTAGCGCCTTTGGGATCACCATTTCCTCGCAACCGAGTCATTTCACCTTCACCTAACCCAACTCTGTTGAGTTGACTAGTCAACATCTTGGATTTTGTTGTTTCGTTATCAACTAATGTTTCTAATGTGACCAAAGCTTTTAGTTAACTAAAACATGATATGATTATTGATTGGGAATGTTGTTTGTCTAATAGATTTACTAATATCTAGTGAACGAATTTTCGTGCTTTTAACTGTATTATGTAGACATGGATTTTGTTTAGTGAGATCGTTAGAGGGGAACGTAAAAATTTGGGTTCTGTTTGTTTGTTATGTAGGATGTGACAATTTGTAATGCATTTTGTTTTTTATTTTTTGAGATTGATTGATGGATGTTGGAAGACGATAATTGTAATTTTTTTCGATTAGAAAATTTCTTCTCCCTTATTCGTGGGGATGTATGTGAGGTTTTGGTTATTATGTTTTAGTCACAAGAAAAATACTATTATTAGTCGTTTTATTGTTTTGTGTGCATTGTTTGGGGGGACAAAACTTGCGGATGTAGGAAAGTGTAAGGACTGAACTTGCAAATTGTCTAGTAGGTAGGGATTATTTTTGTATTTTTTTTAAAATTATGGATTGTTTCTATAAAAAAACATTGACATATTTTTGTAATTTTTTTTAAACATATGGATGGTTTCTATTAAAAAAAAAGACACAATGATATTTTTTGTAAATTATAGGGGTTATTTTTTGTAAAATAAATACACATATCGATTGTTTTTGTAAAAAAGAAACTTTATAAGGACCTTTTCTGTAAATTAAGAAGTTGCAAGGATTAAATCTACTAAAGTATAAAAATCTTAATTGTAATTTGTAAATGTCAAAATATAAAACATTTTGTAGTAAAACTTCAACAGCACAAAACTTTACTATTCATAAAGATTTTCTAATTAATATACAGTACAATATCCTTAGGGATAGAATAAGAGGTGACATGGATATGGACTTGTTGGTTTATCCTATATACAAAAAGACAATACAAGGATATAATCACTATGATGACTTTGGGGTGTTTCACTTATTTTTTGAAGGGTCAAAAGTTTTTTTTGAAAAAGATAGAATGTAAAAAATGTTTGGTAAAATTATTCTAAAAGTTACTTTTTGATTTTTTATGTAAGAAAAAATAACTTTTTGAAAAAGTCAAAAAATACTATATTTTTGTAACTTTTCCTAAAAAGACTTTTGGCTTCCAAAAAAATAAGTCAAACACCCCATTTGTTATAAAACTATGGTAAATTAGAATTTGGTAGTTCATATTCCTACTTTAAAATGATATTGTCATTCTTATTTCATTTCATGTTTGAATTGTTTGAATTTTACTTGGATGTTTATGGGATTGTATCATAGTGATTTAGAACTTCAAATTTTTAGCTTGATTTCTGATTCAACAATATGGTATTCAGTTTTCTACCAAATAGCCAATCAAACCATAACCTAGAATGCGATTTCAATAAAATTAAATGTCCACCGTTTGGTGATAAGAATTTATAGACAAACACTTCTAAGATTGAAGAATTTTGATTACAACATGCTTCAAACAATTTATAAGGTTCCTCACATCCCTATTGTTTAATTTGCGAGGCTAATGATGATTAGCCTGATTGGGAAAAATCAAGATTAGCTACTCAATTAGTGAACAGAAGATGGCAAAATGTTAACTAATAATCTAGATGTAAGACATTCGTCAGGTTATTGTAGAGTCAAGCTGATAAGCCAAATAAGGAAGTGGATTATAAGGCAAAGTATAAGAAGTTGGTTGACTCTCTAAAAAATACAAATCTAAAAACAAAGGACTGATGGGTTAAAGAGGATTTATTATATCGAGATGAAGAAGTACATGTTGCAAACATGTGCTATAAGGCTTAGACTGATGAAAAGAGCACATTTCGCCAGTATATGAATGAATAATAACGATGAGCACGATTCACACACATACACACAAGAGTTTTATTGACAGATCTCGTATCTTATAATTACAAATAGAAGAAGCCTAAATAGGCAAATGTTTTACATAAAGATTGAAACCCACTAATCTAGGAGTTAATTATGAACAACAAATAGACAACATATAGGAAATGATTTTAGGAGGAAAACTAGAGAAAAATATTTGCAATTCTATACTCCTCCTCAAGATGGAGTGCGTCGATTTCGCATGCCCAACTAGACAAGTAGGAATTCAAGTTGTTGTGATCCCAATGCCTTGGTAAAAAGGTCGGCTATTTACATCTTGGTGTCAACATACCAGTGCCTCGAGGCTTGTTTTAAACCGTACAATGACTTTCTTAGCTTACACACCTTCGTTCCTCACCCTTTGTCGTAATCGTGTGGAAGTCTCATATAGACCTCTTTGTTCAAATCCCCATGCAAGAACACATTATTCACGTCGAGTTGGTGAATAATCCTTTCATTTTTAACGACGATTGCAAGCAAGCTTTTAATTGTAACATCCCGGAATATCAAGAGTAGAGTTGAAGGGCTAAAAGTATAAACTTGAAGGGCAACTCGGCGAGTCCATGGATGGACTCGGCGAGTAGGGTCGCGACTTTCGTCGCGTGTCAAGTGGCCTACTCAGCGAGTCCAAAGATGGACTCGGCGAGTAGGTGCTGAGTGGAGAAAACCCTAAATCCGGGGGATGAGCCATATTTAAAGGACATTATACCCTCTCCCCAACCTCTTTGATCCCCCTTGAAGTCCAGAAACCCTAGAAAGCGTGATTGTGGAAGATTGGTGTGCATTTGGAGCTTGGGGAAGTGTTTGTTGAAGAAATCTTGAAGGAGAAGAGGCTTGGATCAAAGGGCTTTGTTTAGATTCGGATTTCTTGCTGTTGAAGGCTTCATTTTGAGGTAATATCTTGTTCTTGGGCTGTGTTCTTCTAGATTCATCATTTTGGGGTTGTGTGGGAAGCTTAGATTTGTGGCATCTTGAGTTTGAAGGATAGATCTGAGGTTGCTACCTCAGATTTGGAGTGGAGAAGGTCTTAAGAGCATTAAAGTCCCTATTCATGTGTAGTTGATGGAGCTATCTTGTCCCAAACCCCAAACCCTAGAGTAAAAATGCGTAGATCTTCTTAGACTCATGTAAAGATTGCCACTTTACGTGATGGATGGCCTTAGGAGAAGTAGATCTATGGTTTGGATCATCTGCATGGCTTGGAAAGCTTCTGTATGGATTCAGACCCGGTGGTACTCGGCGAGTCACATGGGTGGACTCGACGAGTTGCTTGAAGAAAGTTTGGAACTCGGCGAGTTGGAAGAACAACTCGGCGAGTTGGATGAAGATGGCCTGGAACTCGGCGAGTTGGAAGAACAACTCGGTGGGTAGGTTGAAGATAGTCGTAGACTCGACGAGTCTGTTCTTGGACTCGGTGAGTCTGGTCGTATGGTCCAAGTTTCTTTTGGAAGTGCTGTGACTCGGTGAGTTAAGGGATGACTCGGTAGGTTATGTGCGAGTGGGCTCAGAGTTGTTGGACTCGGCGAGTCTCGGGGTGACTCGGCGAGTTGTGTCGCGAATTGAAGGAGGTTCTGTGTATGAGGACTCGGCGAGTCATCGGGTTGACTGGCGAGTAGAGTCAGCCAGGGGTAGACTTTGACTTTGACCAAGGGTTGACCAGTTGATTTCTAGGGGTAATTTGGTAATTATTGGTATTTATTGGACTCAGTCTTTTGGGTATTGATAGTGTTGGAGTTCGGGTCGGAGGCTGTAGCAGCGTGATATTATCCTTTCGGTCAGCAGTTGCGAGGTGAGTTATCCTCACTATATCAACAGGGTCTAAGGCACCAAGGCCGACCCTTTATCGCATTGAGATCCGGGTATCTGTTGTTATGTTATTGCTTCGATATGTATGCATCCGGGTAGTTAGGATGGTACTCGTTATACACCTGGTTAAGGTCGGTATCCTGGTATATAGGATGATGCTATGCTAGTGACCGGTTAGGTCGGTATCCTGTTAGAGTATGTTGTGTTATGTGATCTGCTAGATCGGTTTGACTAAATATGAATTGTTATGTGATTGTATGTTTATGTGCACATGGTTGTTTGGACTGGAGTTGGGTTGAGGTGGGTCCTGCTTCGTGCTGTAGGCCAAGATACCCAGGGCGGACCGGTTATTCCGAAGGCCCAGCGAGCGGTCTGGATAGGCTGTAGGTCCCACGAGGGCGGACCAGACGTGCTGAGGCTCAGAGAGTGGACCAGGCCGACTGAAGGCCCGATGCGGGCGGACCAGTCATACTGTAGACTCAGAGAGTGGACCAGGTGAGTTGAAGGCCCGGTGCGGGCGGACCAACCACACTGCAGACTCGAGGGACATGAATAGACTCAGAGGGTGGACCAGGTGGAATGAAGGCCCGACAAGGTGGACCAGTACCACAGTAGACCCGATATGCATGGTTGTTCTGTGATTTGTTATGAGATAGCATGTTATGTGTATGGTATATGTGGTTGGTATTTTGGGGGTATCTCACTAAGCTTCCGGGCTTACAGTTGTGGTTTAATATTTTTCAGGTTCTTCAGGAGACTGTGGCAAGGCAAAGGCGTGATCGTACCGCTTCTCGTGTTTATGTTTTATGAAATGGACCTGGGAATACTCTGATAATAAATGTATTGAAAACCTTTTTGTAATAACTTAATGAATTGGGTTGTTTTTGAAAAGTTTAAATTTTATTGAAATTTTGGTCGTTTCAAATTGGTATCAGAGCCTTGGTTTGAGTGAATTGGAGGAACACTTGTGTGACTCCAGTCTCAAATCGAGGAGGGTTTTCAAAAGAGAATTTAAAATGGTTTTCAAAATAAGTAAAGGAGGACGCGGTGGTACGATCAGTCGGAGCCAGTAAGTAACCCCAAAATACCATACATGATATTTGTTTTATTGAGCTTTGATAAAACAGCATGCTAGAGTTAGGCTAGGGATCTTCAGGATTTCATGATGTGTTGCCTGATTTATGATGCCTGCTAGCCTAGGGTTCCTTGTGAGAGATTTCTAGTGTTCCTCTAGTTGTGAGGATAGAGCGGTGTTATGTATGTTTTCTCTAGGGTGTTGTGGTAGTACTTCATACAAATATGGGTAGGTGTGGAAGGTAGTATGGGCCCGTACTACTGAAAGCACAGGATCCATACACGTATCAGGGAAACCATGACCTTTGGGGTTGGGTTGAGAGTTGGTTCCCGGGATAGTGGGAAGTGTCTGTGATTTTGGTGGTTTATTTTCAGTATGGAGATTCAGGGCATGCTGGGAGTGGATCCGGGTCAGGATCATGACCAGGAAAGGGAGTTCCGGGTGGGTCCGTACCGCCCGAGGTTGTCGGTCAGATGAGTACGCGCGAGTTGGATGCGAGGATTCGTGAGATCGTGCATGATGAGGTTGCTGCATTGTTCCGGACCGAGCTGCCGGAACTGTTTGGGTCGATCA